ACTTGACTGAAACAATAGAATTCACTTCATTGCTCCCAAGAAGGAGAATTTCCCAGAAATGTTATAACATTAAACTCTAGCAAATGCTGCAGGATAACTCCACAAATGTCTGAACTAATATTGGCTTCCTTGCAAAATAACTCACAATATCATTTTCATCAGAATTCTGTTTGGACAAGTAGTAGCAAAGTATTTGGATTTGGAAATGACAAATCAACATAGAGCATCAGTATCTGACAACTAGCTAGCATAGTTTGGACTTGGAAGGGTCAGGTCTGGGTACCTGGATGGGAGACTTTTAGAAAATTCCAAGTCTGTAGACTAATCTGGGAAGCTGAAAAAACAACAGCAAACCACTTACTTGCTGCCAAGAAAACTACATGGAGGTAGCCATGAAGTCACCAAGAGTTAAGCTCAACTTGGAGATTTTCCTTTTGACAAAAGGCTGTGGATTTTGATTAGTCAAATGTGAAAAAAACCAAATTGTCTTTTTATGCTAGTCATTTTCCTAAGTAAAATATTTCCTTAATATTTAAAATTAAATATGATTTAATTATTACATTCATTATCTTTACTCACATTAGTGTGAATACCTTTTCTTTTCCCACTTTTAAACTTGTTTTTGCCATAATGGCAACAGTGATGCTTTTCCAGCTGCCTTTTAGCACCCATAATTTTGTTTCTCCAGAATATCCCGGATGTTGCTTTGCTCCAGATTGTCTTAGAAAACATGACTGCCATCACAAATATAGTACTCACAAGGGTGTCCAAACAAGTTATTATGGGAAAATAATATAAAGTGATTATAGCAAGTGGCTACTTAAAATCAAGTCCACTGCTCTCAGAAAAAAAAAAGAACCCCAGGATTGCAAATAATTGGGAAATAATGGAATAACACAAGCCATTCATATGTTGTCAACTTTCTTTTTGAAACAAAATAAAGTTGAGCTAAACAGAACCTGCTGGGTTCAATTTTCTTTTATTACAACTCCCTCCCCTGAATTCTGATTTTTCAAACTCCTACTTCCAGATAGCATTCCCATAAATTTATATGTCTAATGAAAATGGAGGCACCAGGGGTCTAATACGGAAAGTTTTGCCTTGCAGAAGATTCTAGGATATATTTTAGGGTTTACAATCTCAATTCACCTCAGGTGCTACCCACTCTATTAGGCCTTGTCACTGAATCACTTCTATTCAGTGTGTGTCCGAAACCACATTCAAGATGTCCTATGCTGTTTTTAAGGAATACCTGTCTCTCATTGCTGATTTTTCCATTGTGGAACCTGACATTTAGGACTCCCACTGATGCCCTTCCATGGTTTTCTTGGAATATCAGTGTAAAAACTATAAATGGTACTACAGCATTGCTATTTATAGCAAGATGATCCAGCCTTACAGCCACCTGAATCAATGGGGTTATTTTGGATTTTGCCCAGTGTAACAGCCCATCATTTTGTCCCGCATTTTTGTACCCCTTGCTTACATAAAATTCATTCCTTTAAAATATTTATACTTGTAAATAATTATATACATTAATCAGCAGCTTTAGTGAACTGAATGATCCTCAGAGCCTCTCTTTGGAAAGAAAAGAAGAAAAAGAAAAAGAAAAAAGGAAGATGAAGATGAGGAGGAAGAGGAGGAAGAAGATCAAACTGAACATTGCCAGTGATGGAAGAAGACATCATCCAGGACCAAAGCTTTGAGGTTTAGAGGGTTAGATAAGTTACACTGGGACAGAGGATAGTCCAAATAATGAAAGTATCTCAGCATCAGATTTGCTAATAAAGATTTGGATTTGACTTTTCCGCTTGCAAACAATGTATCTCAGTGGTTATGCTTGTGCAACAGACTTAACTGATAGGGGGAGGGGCAGATATATTATGAAAATTCCCTAATTCATATAAGTGATCCATTTAACAAACTTCACCCTCATGCTGTGAACTAGATGTATAGTTAACTCTTCTCACTTCTGAGACTAAGACAATATTCTAGAGAGAGCCTACTAAACAGGCTTCACAAGAAACTCCTCTCTCTGCCTCTTCTGTAGTTTTCATCCCAAGTCCACACAGGAAGGTGAAAAAGGGGCAGAAGGGAATGGAGAGATGACCCCAACTGTTTCTCCTCCCACCCCAAGGGAAAAAAAGCAGACATATATTTCATCCCTTATTAGAGGGCAAGGGGTTACATCAGCCTTGCCTAATCTGCAGCTCTCCAAATACTAGAACAATTCCCATAACCCCCCTCAGCCAGCATGGGAGTTGACATCCAACATATCCATAAGACATCAGTTGAGGAAGATTGCCGTATTTGTCTGCCATTCAAACACCTGTTGGCCCAAACAGTATAAAATAGGGACAAACTGGCTTCACAGTGAGAAATCAGATAGCAGATGATTGCCTGCATATTTTTTTCTTTCTACATAACTAGACTTAGTTCTTACGCAGTGCAATCCCACATGGAACGACTTCCCTTGTATTCAAAGGCACCTATGCCTGGCGAGCATGCCTCTGATTGGCCTTAGCAGGCAGCTGGCTTTGTCTGAGCTCAGAAGCCCAGCAGGGTGGTCCTAGTTACCACTTGGATGGGAGATTACCAGGACTGTCACTTGGACTGGGAAGGGTAAAAAGCGTCCTGGAAGGAAGCCACGGCAAACCACTCCCATGCTGTTACCAAGAAAACAGCGTGGAAGTGTCCAGGTAGCCACAAAGTGTTCAGCTAGACTCAAGGTCATCTTTACCTTTTTGTGCATGTGGTTTCAGCCTGATTAAAAAGCTTCCTGAATATCTCAAGGAGGCAAATTATGACCTGTGAAATGAGAGGGCTTTATGTTGCTGGTAATGATGAAGAAGTTGTTGAAACAAAGGATTGGGCAAGAGGTGCAAACCCTTGTGAACAGGGTCACTGAAACACCCAAACAGCATAGCATAGCATTGCATTGCATTGCCTTTCCTTTCCTCTTTCCTCCCCTTCCCCTTCCCCACCCTACCCTGTCCTGTCACCTCTTCCTCCTGTCTCCTCTGCATCCAGTTCTCTCTTTCATTTCCTTCTCTTTACAGGGACTTATTAAGGCTGTGCAGAGATCCAGATCTAAGAGCAAAATAATGCTGTGGAGCATGTGTGGATATATACTTGGCATTTTGGGGAACACCTCAAAACATCATCAACTTTTCCTGGCCCTGCCATATTTTGGAATCTGGCTTTTTGCAGATATACGTATCCAGCCATCTGTAGCACATACATATATACAAGTGTCCCATGTACATATTAACTGGGGTGGGAGAGGAATCTCCAAAAGTGGCTTCAGCTAGAATTGGCATCCCTAAGCTGACAAGGTGGGAAGCTGGGCATTGGCCAGGATTTTGGCCTGTGTTTATGCTTTTTTTGTCTGGTTTACCCTTCGTTTTTGGGAAGGATTGTACTGCATTGAATTCTGGATAATCTGTTAAGGTCAGTGATTTTTTTTTTTCCTGAATTGACGTGAACTGCAATAGAAATGAAAGCTGAAATTTGAGTGAAGAATCCTAATATATCTTAGTGCAGTCTTTCAGACCCTGCTGTGGTTACTGTCTCAGCTCACAGTGTTTTCCAAAGTACTAAACAATTTCAGAGTACAGAATGCAGATTATGTAAGGGAGAGACCTTTGGGAGTTTCAAATATAGAACTGTGATTCTATTAAATCAAACAAACCTTTTCAAAGTCTTCACAAACTTGTTTGAAGAATGGAACAGATGCTTCAGGCTTCTGGAGACCGACTGCTTGCGCCCGGCATTCTGCAATTTAAAACTATCTAGAGTGGAGATTTAAGGGAAGAAAAACAAGAGAAAGAGGAGGGAGTGGGAAAGAGGTATACCTCTGTATTACAGGGTGTATCTTTGTTGAGGTGATATTGGCAACTATAAAGCTATGCATTTCCTGCCTAATGTCTTTTTATTTACAGTATGGCCTTTACAATAAGGAAAAGAAGGAAACCGACAGCAAGCAAGAAGAGTAATCCAGAAAAGGGACAATTTCCCTCAGTATAGCTTGGAGGGGAGATTTTGATTGAGGAAAATAATGGGAGCAAATCCCAACCGATTTCCTGTTTCTCAGTATACGTACCTATACCACAGCTTTAGTAAAGTCTGAACTCATTGTTGCATAACTGCTATCAAGTAGAAATAAAAATATAAAGATATTCAGGCCACAGTTATTTATGATTCCCAGAAAACATGTTCTTTAAAAACTTTGCTTATTGAAAAAGCAGTCTGAAATGTGGTGCAAGAGTCTTTTAAACTCCTGGAAGACAGAGGACCCAGAAAGACTAAGGCAGATCAGAGCCAATTTTTTTCCTCTAAAGTCATTGATGCCAAGCTCCAAAGCAATGGGAATTTATAGTGTTCTCACTCAATTTATTAGCGTTCTCACTAATCACTCATGATTAACCCCAGTTTAAAGGACAGAGAATAGAATCCTTTGTATCTCTGCAGTTCTTGCTTGTTCCCTGTCTCCTTTGTCAAGAAAAAATAACTAGAGACAATTAAAGAAAAAAACAATTTGATTTACTCCAACAGCTGTTTTGACTGTCAAAATAAAGTCTGCATAAATATCCTGATTAAATTTGAGACGGTTGCCAGGTTTACTCTCATTGGTACTGGGAGGAATATAAAAATCTAACATGCTGCTAACTTTTCAATATTCTTAAAAGAGGAACTCTCTCCTAAATTTGTCATACTAAAAAAAAATAAATCATTTGACTGCATATTCTTAATCACATTTGAACATATTTATTCATATTGGTAAGCTCTCAGCATATATTTAAAAAGATAAATTTATACTGTGATTTGCAATTGATGGAAATGAAACATCATTAGCACATTTACCTTATACAATGAAAAGGGAAGAGACTTTGAAATGAAGATAAGGTTTTTCATACCCCCCCCCCCCCCCCATTTATATTTTAGGAAGGAAAGAAAATAGAAGATGGATGGATGAGTTTCAGATCCACGTATAAACTTTTTCAGTATTGTTGCATAAATGAAACGCAGCCCTAGAGGGTATGAAATCTTGGCTGTTTTCATTCTACAGAAGGGATATCTATTGTGGGGCATCAATTGCATCTATTCCAATTCGCAAATGATCTTCTAAGGCAGGGGTTTTCAAATGTGTTCCACTGAACCCTCAGGTTCCACGAGAACTTGATGGTGTTCTATGGCAAACTAAGGATAAAACAAAAACATTCACTTGAATGCAGCCAATTTTCTATCACTAGAGATCAGAGGTTCTAGATTTTTTTTAAACTAAGAGGTTCTGCAGCCTGAAAACCTTTGTAAATCCTTGTTCCAAAACATCAACTGATGCCCAGTTCAGAAGTATCTGGGTCATAATTGAAAAGGTTGCCATATTCTTCAGGCATAAAATTCAACTGCATATCCAGATCTCCTTTATCTGCCAGGGTTCCCCAACCATTAAAAGAACAAAAGCATTTAATGAAAGCATCTACCCACCTGCATGGCAATGTCCTCCTCAAGTGCATTCCCCCCCACCCCCTGGGTATATCAGTTTGTACATGGGGTGCTGTACTTGGATAAAGATTTTAGAAGGTGAGGGGTCTCAAGGAATTCAAGGAATTGTGGAGATATAGAATGCCTCAGTCAGATGTTGGGAAGGAATTAGAGAATGCAGAACACATCAGGTTCATATGAAGCCTGAATCCTAAATTGAATTGGGCTAATTTGGACAGATTCAGAAGGTGTTCAAATTAATGCAGAATCTGTGTATATTAGAGCTGTGCAGCATTTTGATTCTGAAGGGAAAAGATGTGCTTCAGAGCATACAAGGAGCTCATGTAATTGCTCTCAGCGCTCATTAAAGTAGCTGTGTCTTTTTCTGGCGTCACAGGACTGACTCCAGAAAGACGTGTTTGGTCTTTTGATGATCAAATGCAGAAATTTGGCAGTGTGAAGTGGGGTGGGTTTTTTTCTGCAAGTTTTTAAATGAGAAGTTAAGCAAAGTAAATGCCTGTTGTCTTAAAACATATATTCTACATTTTTAATAAATAAACAAATGCATAAATAAACAAACCCTCTTATGCCCACAAAAGATTCCCAATATGTCTGCCTGCCATTTTCGGTGATGTTATTCTGAGACTGCCATACTCCTTGAAGTGCTCAGAGACCAGAGTTTTTCCCTACATAGAACTAAATGTATGAAAACGAGGTCAGACCATGCCCCAATACTCCTGCTGCCAAATATCTGTCTGTTATGGGATATCTGAAAAGACATTCCTGTGAATATACACTTGTATGCATTTAAGCAACCTATGAAGTCTGGGTCCCTGCACAATCAGTGGTCTGATTAGCATTGGCACTTATAAGCATTGGGCACCTGTGCAAATGTGGCTCTTTTCAGATATCTATAAATGCCTGGACAGCAAAGCAAGGAAGTGATGTACAAAACAGAGCTGGGAGTGTGCTTAAGCATGTACAGTTGAACTGAATAGAGCACATTATAGTAACCAACCAAATGAGCACAGGTAGATTAGGGCAGGCTTGAATTTTAAAAGCTGTATCACTGGGGCAAGGTTGTGATTTAGCTTTGAGTAATATCAACTGATGGTCTCTTTCCAATTATGACAAGATTTCTTTCCAGTAAGAGAAGAAATTCAAGGACATCGGGGGTGGGACAGGGAGAAGGCAAACTGATTTTCAGGTGATTATCTGGTAACAAAATGATCTGAAAGCTGTTTATACATATTCTTCTTTTTTGTAAAATATAGTTAGAGGGAACAGCCACTACAAGGGTTAGGAAACCCAGGTATATGGGAAGGTTTCAAATACCTCAACATCAATATGATGTATCATTTTTCCTAGTGATATATTATGGGTCATTTGGGTCTAGCCATCTTTTTTGTGTACAGTGTCCCTGAAAATAATACTACAGTATCACTTATCTTCATCTCTAAGATCAAAAAAGTCCCCTTTAAAATTTGCTGAAACAGAGTCCCTGTCATTTCAAGCAGCTCTTATCTTTAAAATACAGAGGACCTGTAAATAACTAAAAAGCATTTCAATCACTCTGCATTATTATAATTTTCCTAAATCTATCTAACTCAGTCATCTTTCTCCAAGATTTTAAGGATGAATTTTGCTCCCTGGTTCCCCATGTTCAACCTAGTCAATTAGGCCTAACTCTGAGTTCATTTCTTGAATACACTCAGTTAATTTCTAAATGGAAAGTGAATTGTTATTCTAGAAGGAAAAATAAAATGCTTACACTTGGGGATACAATTGGAGTGAGAACAATCTGGCCCCCTAGTCCCCTTCTGATCCTAGGTGACTGTCAGCCTTCCCAGGTATACCAGACAGGAACCACATCCAGATGAGCTGAATCTACTTTATTGTAAGGCTACGTTAACAGAATCTTGCAAGTCTGAAAATACAAATCTCCTGCCGTCTCTTTTCCAGCCTGATAGGTTAGGGAGGTTCCTTTCTGAATTTCTTTCTCTACCCATTACACAGCTGCGGGCTATGCCACCTCATCTGATCCTTCTCTAGGCAGCATCTCTTCCCCCATCTCCCAAAGTCATTCCCACATACCATTACAGTGGCAGAGAAAGATGCTGCTGAACAAGACCAAGATTCCATAGAGCCCAGGATCTGGAATGTGTAAAGATCTAAAGCGGTACCAAAGAATACAGGAGTGACCTCTCCTCAGTGTAAATGCATATCTCAAAAGTCTGAACAGTGAAAGCTCATAGACTTATCCTGTGTTTCGTGGACAGAGATCAGGATAAAAATGGGTGTCCTGGCAGGTTTCTTCATGCTTATTTTCAGCTGGGAGACAAGTGATGGTTGGGTTTATTAACTTCAGGACATCCAGGAAAGATTTATGAGCAAGCCTCCAATCAGGAATCTCCTTCCTTTGGACTTCCAGGGGATGTATGGTGAACTGAAGATGGCTCTGTGAAAGCAGAGCCAACAACCATGGCAAAGACCGAGGAGCCAGTGAATAGACTGGTTCCATGGAACTTCTCTGGATAAGGAGAGGATGGAAGATCACTCACAGTTACTCTGGATGGCTGCTTCTGGTGAGGAGAATGCAGGACAATGGTTTTCCATGGGTTTGAGCACCGGGAGATGACAGGATCAGCCATCTTGCTTGCAACCACAGTGGAGACTTTTAAAGGACACTAAGTTTGCAGACCTCACTTTTTGAAATTGCTTATTAACTACTTCTAAGCTATTAGAAACCTTTAGAGTGACAAAATTGAAAATGCTGGGCGAGTCTGCCTTCAATCCTGAATGAAAGAAAATTTTAATCACAAGCTTAAGAATTTAAAGAATCTGAAATAAACAGCAAAAAGCTAAATGAGTCTGCCTTCAATCCTGAATGAAAGAAAATTTTAATCACAAGCTTAAGAATTTAAAGAATCTGAAATAAACAGCAAAAAGCTAAATGAGTCTGCCTTCAATCCTGAATGAAAGAAAATTTTAATCACAAGCTTAAGAATTTAAAGAATCTGAAATAAACAGCAAAAAGCTAAATAAGATTTTGATCTTAGAAAGTTATAAATAGACTAAGGTTCCAGATAAAACTGGCATATTGAAATTTTTACAATAAGATTTTGGAATTAATTATAATCCTATTGGATTTACAAAAGAGGCTTGTGAAAGTCTTGAAGAACTCTGTGCAATCGGACAAAGAAGAAATGAAGAGAAATCAAATCCTACAACAATATTTAAATGAACTAAAGATTAAAACTGTTAGAAGTAAAAGGAAGGAATATAAAGTTGTTTTATTTGACCAAGG